GATACCTTAGAAGATATTCCCTACTTACAAGAACCTCTAGTACTAGAAGATGAAGTTAGATAGCACTCTGATCATTAACATGTCAGAAGGATACAGGAACTGATGGAATACCCACTGAAATATGGCAAGCAACAGAAGAATCAGTCATTCTAACCAAGTCATGCCAGCAAATCACACAGTGGCCAACAGATTGGAAGAGGTCAAGCTACATTCCAATACCAAAAAAAGGAGACTTAACAGTGTGTGTAAACTATAGTACAATATCCTTAATTTCACATGCTAATAGAATAATGCTTAGGATCATCCAACACAGCTTAGAGCCCTACATGGAAAAAGAGATGCCAGATGTTCAAGCTAACTTTAGAAAAGGCCAAGGAATATGAAACATTATGGCTGATGCACACTAGATAATTGAGAAAGCCAAAAAATACCAAAAGAAGTCACTATATGTTTCATTGATTATAGAAAGGCCTTTGATTGTGTTGTTCACATCAAACTGCAATGTGACCAGAAAAATGGAAATCCCAGAACATCTCATTGTCCTCATGAGAAATTTATATACACGTCAGGAAGCCACAGTATGGACAGAACATGATGAAACAGATTGGCCGCAGGTTCACAAAGAAATGTGACAAGACTGAATACTTTCCCTTTATTTATTCAACCTATATGCTGAATATATATTAAGAGAAACTAGATTGGAAGAAGATAAGCATGGTTTTAAAATTGGAGGAAAAAACACCAACCTCCGCTATGCTGATGACACTACCTTGATAGCCAAAAATGTAGAGGATCTGCAAGCTCTAGGATTAAAAGTTAAGGAGCAAAATGGAAAAAAAGGACTAAAATTAAATATAAGACCAAACTAAAGATAACAGGTAGAACAACCAGGCTTAGAATTGGTAATGAAGATATGAAAGTGGTGGATAGCTTCTACATTTTAGGATCAACCATCAAGTGGATCATCAGACAAATCAACCCAGTGTTCTCACTCAAGGTACAAATGACCAAGCTAAAATTATTCTACTTAGGACACATTATGCAAAGACCTAGTTCTCTGGAGAAGGCTCTAATGCCTTCTCTAAGGTAGAAGGAAAGAAAAGAGGATGACCAGGAGCAAGGTGGGTAGACTCAGTTACACTTGCAATGAGTGCACTGTTGGAAGACCTAAAGGATCAGGTTAGGGATAGATCATCATGGAGAAAATCTATATGGTTGCCAGGAGTCTAAAACAACTTGGTGCCACATAATCAATCAATAGAATATCAACTTTCATTTACTGAATTGTTTGAAAAGCATTTCCTGTAAAAATGATCTGATTAGAAAAACTACCAACAGCAGGAACAAAAAATCCTTGGAAACTTTCAAAATCACCCCTGACTTAATATTGAAATCCATCCTATTTTATGGGTTATTATTGGATTGTCAGCATTATCTCTGTAAATAAACCTAAAGAACTTACCTGTGCACAGCATATGAAAGCAATGGAAAGAGCCAGTAAGAATATGGAGGATACAACTACATCAACAGATCGCTGAGGGCCTCGCCTCTGGCAAAATAAACATACTGAATTATAACAATGCAGTATTACATATAAAGAGCCAAAAACATACAGCAATTCCTTATAGCTTAAATTCTGTAGCAACTTAAGATCCTCTCTACAATTTGAATCTTCAGTTTAAGGCTGAGATTTCAGTGCTTTTACATCACTTACCTTTAAGTAGGAGCGAAGTGATAACCAGATCTTAATGTTTTCTACTTTCTTGAGTCTGAAATGTGGGATTTCATATTTTCTTGCTTTCCGAGCAGAGGTAATGTGACTAAAAAGTTTAGCCACCAAAAACCGCTGCAAAGAAAATATAAGTGTCAGTCACAGCAAATTACATGCATACTGCTATCATTCAAAAATTACACAAAGGTCTTTTCTGACCACTATGTTTCGAAAGCTTTGCAGAACATTTTAATAATCCATATTTCTCTAGAACAGGAATGACAATACTATTAAATATAAGAAGGGAAACTAATACTTGTCTGTCATGGGTAAACATGCAGTGTGATGACAACATATACATTTTGCCACATGAGACAATCATATGGCAAAATCAAGAGACAGAGAGCAGTGCTTTCTTTGGCAGTCATGTGGCTCCTATTATTTTATTTTTTGACAATCCAGACTAACCTGCTTGTAAGTCCTCTCAGCAACACACATCATGAAGAAAAACATCCAAGTGAGGCACAGGCGCTCCAGGAAGATGATAATTGCAAGGATGATTATAGGGGGGAAAGTAGGACCCCCACAAAAGATATGCAAAGCTTCTTTTGTAGTCAAGGACCACAACTGCTCAAAGGTCTTTGAATGGAAGAGTCGATAGAGGAAGGGAAGGAAAGCTAAACCAATGGTAACCACATTGCCCAGCCACTGATAACCAGATCCTTGCTGACAGGCATTGACCTAATGGTGAGGAAACCAACATCAACATTACATCGCTTATACATACTGTACATTTTTGAGACATGCAAACTTCATTACAGGTAGTCCTTGACTTATGACCATTCAACGATCATTCAAAGTTACGACAGCACTGAAAAAGTTACTTATAACTGGTCCTCACACTTACAACTGTTGCAGCATCCCCACAGTCACGTGATCAGAATTTGGGCGCTTCAAAACTGGCATGTATTTATGATGGTTGCAGTGTCCTGGGGCCACATGATCACCATTTGTGCCCTTCCCAGGGTTTTCCAATAAGCAAAGTCAATGGGAGAAGCCAGATTTGCTTAATGACCGCGTGATTCTGTCAGGCCCAGCCCAAGAACGACAATGAGGCAGTCCAGTCCAGTATAGTTCCTTTATTAGCTTGCACCTAATAGACAGAATCTCGCCAGACTAAACCTGTGCTAAAGCAACTAGAGGATATGAGACTCTGGGGAGGGGCCAGTCTCAGCTTCTTCCTATTCTCACAGTCCTGCTGCGAGCTGAGGAAGCGCTTGCTCTGTAACCTCTCCA